GGTCTGTGTGGTCATGATGCCTTTCCCTTGTGTGGGCTCCCCTAAATACTCACTACTAGCTGGACATCAAATCACTGTTTATATGAGAAAAATTCATTCAAAAAATATTAAAACATACAAACAAAAATCACTTCACTGCTGTCAAGTCAATTTCTATCCATAGTGACCCCTCCTTGGGTTTCCAAGGTGGTATCTCTACGGAAGTAGATTGCCCAGTCTTCCTTCCAAGGAGTGGCTGGTGGGTTAGAACTGTCAGCCTCCTGGTTAGCAGTCAAATGCCTTAGGCACTACACAACCAGAGCTTCCTCAAAGAATATATGCTTACTGTGATAGTTGGAGCTGTGTGTCAACTGGGCTGGACCACAATTCTGTGTGGTTTAAGCTGTTGTGAAGTGGTTATTTCCATGATGGGATCAGATGATTATGTTTTGAGTAGGGAGTTTCCATAGGGGTGTGGCCTGCTTCCAGCATACTGTGGACACCCTGGGAAAAGAGGCATTCCTCTGTGGATCAGGATTCTGTTGTGCTGCCTATAACTGTCCGCCAGTGAACAATCCACCATTTGGCCTGGAGATCTTGGATTCATTATTCGTTGGAGTCAACAGCCAGTACACTGCCTGCCAACCTTGAGCTCCTCAGCCCCTGCAGCTGAAAGAGTAGGGAAAAGCCTCCACCTTGACGTTTGATCCAACAACTTTGGACTTGCCACCTTCTGTAAGTGTGTGAGCCATTTTCCTAAGATAAATTCCTCTCTCTCTCTCTCTCTCTCTATATATATATATATAAGCTTTACTGGTTTTGTTTCTCTAGAGAGCCCAGTTGAACACACTTAATTAATTCAAGAGAAAGCATTTGTTTTGGGAAGTTATAAAGGAGATGCTGAATTAAATATCCAATTAATAAGTAAGCCTTAGTTAAATTTTGTAGGGAAAGATAGGTAAGGTACAGGCTTACCTGACGAGAATATACAAGGAAATAGATACCATTTTCAGTAATGAAAAGCCTATATCCAGGAACTTTCAATACAGGCAAAAAGGGTGGGCGGGGGGAGAGACCATTTTAGGAAAGAGAGAAGAAATATCTCACCTGAACCATGGCTTCAAGATTTTCACAAGAGGTCATTTGCTCTTTCAGATTTTATTAGAAAGTTGAGTACCTCTGAGAGCGCAGAGAGAGGGAAGCAAGAGAAGGGACGTGAGACTTTATTTATCTTAGACCTTCCATAATAACTTGGTTAAATCTGTCCAGGTACCCAGTAAATATTTACAATTATTACCATCATAAGGAGCTCTGGTGGTGTAATGGTTAGGGCATTTGATTGCTACCAGCAGGTCAGCAGTTCAAATCCACCAGCTGCTCCACAGAAGAAAGACTGAGTAGTCTGCTTCCATAAAGATTTACAGCCTTGGTAACCCAATGAGGGTCACTATGAGTTATTATCGACTTGATGGCAGTGAGCTTGGACCTTTTTTTTTTTTTTTTTTTTAAATCACTATACTAAATATTAACTATTTAGCAATACAGGCTGAATAAACAGTGAATTGAACAGACAGTTAATTTTTCCACAGTATAGGTGCCAGAAAGATGAAGGAAATTTTTCCTTCAAATGAATTTGAAATTCTGATTTCTATAGTAAATGTCTTTAGTTAGAAAATGACTATTTTAGATACTATGAGACTGACCTTGTGATAAGAAGTATTTCAGGTGCTTTTCCTCAACTATAGTTCTTGAAGAAGTAATTAAATCACCTTCGATTTCATCGAGGAGCAGTGAGGAAAAAAACTCACTCAAATGAACTGTATAAAGTGGCAGATGGGGTGAAAATAAATCATTTTTCTTGTGTGCTGCTGGAGTCACAATCATTTCTATATATTTGACTTCATTTATATGGTGTTTCCAGGTATACAGTTCTGTCATCTGGAAATTATGGTAAGTTTATGTCTTATTTTCCACTTCTTAAATTACTATCTTACTTGCTAGGAAGTTACAATTCTTCAGGCAAAATCAACATAATATATACCCAACAAAACAGTCACACAGTTTTTCAGTTATTCTTTAATATCACTAACACAGTGATTCACTTTATTTTTTAAAAATTTTTTAAAAATTCTTTTTTAAGAGCTTGTTTTACATTCAACATTACGTGTACATTTAGTTTCCCTCCCCATTTACCATGTACAACCCTAACCCTCCCTATCCTGTAACCCTCCCCCTGTGCCCTTCATATTTATGCACTCCTGTTTGTTCTGCGTTTCCTCAGTTTGAATGTTGGTCCTCTGGTCCCCTGTGGTCTATTGCTCTGAGGGATGTACTACCATAGAGCATGTGGGTGCATCATCTTGGGTTGAGTAGTCTGCATAACACAGTGATTCACTTAAACAGTCTCACCATGGAATGTACACAAAAAACAATGACATAAATAACAGTACAGACATAGTCACCATTTCCTTTGATCTCACCAACTTCACAATCCCACAGTCCCATAGACCCTTCATGATATACACAATCCCACTGAGCCTGTCTGATAATCCATATGAGGACACAAAATCACACCCAGAAACCATTTACTTTATAGTCACATATGGTCTTTGTGTTGCAGTGAATTGCTTGTTATAGCCCTTCCAGCCATGGTCTTTGCAACTCCCACCAGATGACTGGGTGGGATTATGTAAATCTGAGGTGCTTGTGGCCCACCAAGGGGATTGGATAGCTTGTTAATAACATAAATAAGGTGCATGGCACCCTGTGGGGGTAGGACCACGCAAATAAGTTGTATGGAACCCTAACAAGGGGATTGGTCAGTTTTGCCATCTCCCTAGGCTTGAAATGAACCATCCCAGAGGTGGAAGTGGGGGAATCTCACTACCATCAAGAAAGAAGCCTAGGAGCGGAGCTTGTCCCTTGGACCTGAGATCCCTGTGCTGAAGCTCCTCAATCCAGGAGACAGAGAATTGTGACACAAGAGATGGTGAGAAGCAATGGCAGAGAAACGGCAGCTTCAGAGGCTGCAGAACCAAGAAAGCGGCATGAGACAGAGGTGGGCCTCCTCTCCTGGCACACGGAGCAAGAAAGCCAAGCATCTGTGGGCAGGTGGCTTGCTGGTAGTGGAATCCCTCTAGACACATGGAGCTAGGCCTGCTGACCCATGGAGCAAGAAAGCTGAGTGCCTTCTGACTGAGACTTGCTGGTGGAGTGGGTTGCCTCTCTGGGCACCTATCAGCAGGGCTAAAATAGCTTTTTAACATTTGCCCAAGCACAGCAGAGGCCAGGCTGAGGTGCCAACTACAAGAGATACCTGCCTTTGGGCACAGCTGAGGGGAGGATGTCCTGATGGAAAAACTGTATCCTGAGTGTACCTGATCCTGAATTAGAACCTGTTACTTCCCTAATAAACCCCCAAATTTTAAGTATTGTCTGTGAGTTCTGTGACCACTGTACCAAATTATCCAACCCAGCAGAGAAGCAGAGTGTGCCTTGGGAGGAAGATTAGTGTCAGTTTTGGGCTGTTGATGTTGATGCTTCTCCCTTCTTTGTGAAGGTACAGGAGGTCAGACCCTGCCCCATGTCATTTTTATAGTTTGAAACACAAATCACTCAAAGCTAATCATCCAAAAGTTTTCTATTTCTTAGAAAGCTAAACATAAATTTTGCTAACACCCAACCATTTCTTTTCTACGTATTTACCCAAGAAAAATGAAAACATGTCAGCTTTATTCAGGTTTTATAGATAAAACCTGGACACACACCAAATGCTCATAGAGAAAAAAAAAAAAAAAATGAACAAATTGTTACATATTCTTACAATAGAATGTTATTCACAAATAAAAAGAATGAACTCATTAATGAATTGCAGACATTAGGTTGAGCTAAAGAAGAATTCTTGAATTTTTGGACAAAACTAAACTATAGTGACAGAATTCAGACTGTGGTTCCCTTTGTTCTCAGACTGACTGGAGAAGAGCAGCACTTCTAGAAATGATGGTAGAAAACATGAACCAGTGCTGCAGCCAGTAAGAGCTGGCTAAGTGCCAGGTCCTGCTCTGGACGATGAAGCGTTCTCACAGAACAAATCTGACAATCTCACACCCTCCTCTCACTCTCAGGGTCGCCCAAAGGGCACACCCTGGGCCCTCCTGAGGGTAGTATAACAGTTGCCAGGGAGTCCATTCAGCCTCAGGGCGATCCCACGTGTGTCAGAGTAGAACTGTGCTTCAATGTTTTCAATGCTTGATTTTTCAGAAACAGATCTCCAGACCTTTCTTCTGAGAGGCCTCTGGGCTGGTTCCAACTGGCTGCCTGTGCGCAAACCCTAAGTACTGCCACTTCCACCACCACAACCAGGCCTGAGTGTTTGGAGGAAAACTGCCTGCTCGGACTTCCAGTTCTCGCCTCAGCCCTCTCCAGGCTGAAATGCGGTAACCAATTAAGCCCCTTTGGCCTGGGATCCCGATTTCATTCTCTGTCCTAGAAGGGCTGGACTTCCAATTTTCCCCAAGGCCTTCGCAGCGTCCCCAGCTGGGGCTTCCGGTTCTCACTTCGGCGCTCCCTTTCCCGGCTTACGCATCTCTCCTACGCATACTCGACTAGGAGTACTTCCAGTTCCCTCCTGGAATCGCCCAGGCCCAGAGCGTCTTTCTCCCGCTTCTGTCCTGCCGAGTTTCCGATGACACGCTCAGCCTGAGTTTCCTCCTCGACTTCACTTCGCTCCCAGAAAACTGCCACTCGCCCCATCGCATTTTGAGGACAGACTTCCTGCAAGCCTCAGTCAAAAACGAGCGCCTACGTACGTTTGGGCGGCCCGTAGACTTAGTGTTTGGAATGGTCATTTCAGCCTTGAACTACGTTTCCCATACGCCCCAGGGCCCTGCAAATGAGCTTCCACCACTGATTCCCTCCCACCCTCACCCCGGCGGTGCCGTCGTAGTGATTGTGAGCGGTTAGTTGAAGTGACCAGGGTCGGCCTGCGTGAGAAGTTCACGGCCCAGAGCTCTGGGGCGGGGATGGGGCATGTGGAGCCCGGAGCTTCAGGTTTGTATGCGCACGGGTTAAAGAGGTACATGGTTGTGGATGCAGTTGTTTGTGACGTCATTGTGAGGTGGGTGTGGGTGTGGGTGTGTGTCTGTGTATGTGTATGAAAGAGAATAGGCATGTATGTGCGTGTTAGACGTGTGTGCACCCTCGAGAGGCCCTCATTGGTGCCTAATTGGGCTCGTGGGACTAAGTAGAGGCCAGGCCTATTGTGTGTCCTCGGTTTGAGATGTCGCGTGGCAGTGTGACCGCGTGATGGTGTGACGGCGCTGTTTGCAGGTGCTTATCTGAGGTAGGTAGCTATGGCAAGTGCCCTGAGTCCGTCTAAAGTGGGAGGGCGCTACTGGGCATTTTCTGTTAACCTAGTTTCCCTCGCTAGCTCCGAGCAATTATTCAGCAAGTTAAAATTCATACTTTTGTATTTGAGAGTCTTCATGGATCAAGGCAGACTGTGATCTTTCTCTGCGGAGTACAGAAAAAGAAACTGAAAGAAAAGAATGACTTTGAGCACGTCATAGACCAGTTTTCATCAGTGAAAAAAAAAAAGGAACGTGCAGTTGGAATTTTCACGTAGTGAAACATTATTACAGTTAAGCAGAAGATTAATGAGCTTGACTTGTATTTTTGAGTTGATATTCTGGTAGGTTTATCTAAAAGGTCAGATGTTTGGACCGGGGTACAATTTCAGAGCTTGTCATAGGCGCTATTTTCTGTAGATACACTGTAGATGTGCTGTTGTGATGGACATAAGTGTGAAGGAGGCGGAGTTTTTATTTCTTTTTCTTCCCCCTTAGTCTGTTATCCTGTGGGAGTTTGGTTCTGTAGAGTTTAATTTCTCCAATTCTGTGGGAGATGGTCCCTCTGTGCTTCTGTCTGTGCCTGTGAAGACTCCAGTGCCTGTAACAAAGTCTCCAGCACTGACATGTGGCCTGTGCTGTCTTCATGTGGGCACTTTGTCTCAAGTGGCCCACTTAGTGCTTAAGACAGAGGTAGCATGGTGGAGTGCATGTTGCCCAGCCAGGATCCAATTGTAGGTTTCATGGAACATGTTTCTCTCCATTATCTGCTCCTGTCCTCACATCCTACAGCCAGTTGGGTCCAGCTACAGAGAAATCGTCATCAGACGGAAAGCTATTAATTTCAGCCCTAGAATGAAAATTCAAAGCAGAGAAGCAAATGCTACTTTATTGGGTGAGAATTTCAGACTTGCCCTTACCTCTAAGACAGACTCCCGGGAAGTCATGAGGCATAGCAGTGGAATTCCTTACTGGAAGAACCGTCCTTGGATGGCCTTTGGGGCCACTTACACATTACAGAACCACAGCATTTCCTGAGCTTTGCCCCGCAGGAGTAGCTGTGAACTTAGATTCCAGGTGTAGGCATTAGTGATGCTGACCTTTTTCTCTGATACTGGGAAGAGTCAGCTATATTCTGATTTCCCTCTTGCTTCCATCTGGATGTATTTGTTGTGGATAATGGGACATGTCTGGTGGTGAACAGTGTGTTTTTATTTTGCCAGTCTGGAGTTTCACAGTTCCCTTCTCTCTGGTACTGTAGTTCCACGGAAAGGCCTAGAAGAGGAGGAGAGCATCGCTCCTTATTTAACGGGAAACTCAAGGTCAGTTTGTGTTTTCTCTTACTCTGTCAAATACAATTTTATTTTACTTTCCTTCTGCTAAATGACCCTGCTTGATTATGGCTTGGTCCCAATTTATCTAGTCCCTAGGCCTTCTTTTCCCAATTAAAAACTGGACCATAGAGTGAGTTCCCTTACACTCCGCTGCCTTTCTGAATGCTCTACTACTTTTACATACCCATTGGGTGGGTAAGTCATTCAGTTCCTCTGTGTGTTCTTTTTTTTTTTTCCTAAAGCATTCTGATGGCATGGAAATATATCTGGAGAATATTAGAGGTTTATTTTAGAATGTGATTTGTTAAGGAGGATACCCATGGTTAAGTAGAATACACTAGATACCTAGTCTTATTCAAAGACAACCTTGCCCCTTGTCACCTCTACTAAACACCTGGAAATTCTGATCATTCACATAAACTTATAGGACCATTGTCTGCCAACCCTATATATGTTCTTGGATACACTCCCCATTTCATAGACATACCTAATAGTTCAGCCTGTCCACCCATATACCCATGTTTGCCTTCACTGACAACGCAGTACTATATGTGCAAAAGGGTTCATCTTTGTTGTCTGCACCTCCCATGTATCTCTCTATGTCTTCCTCTTCATCATTGCCACCATGTTAATCACTCACGTTTGGTACATTGCCCTTCTCTTCACCCAAATCAGTAATTATCTCCACCTATCTAACAGTGTTCTCTACCCTTCCCTGGTAACCAACAAAGAAAATTTCCTTTCATATATAAACCTTTCCTTGACTTTTTGCAATAATGGACTAACACAATATTTGTCCTCACCAGCATTTATTTTCTCTCCTGTTGAATTTTGCTTCTAGTGCTAGGGCCAGATGGTATCTCATTGCTGTTTTGATTTGCATCTTTCTAATGGATGATGATTGTAAGCATTTCTTCATGTTTGTTTGGCCTCCTGAATATCCTCTTTGGTGAAGTGTCTGTTCATGTCTTCTGCCCATTTTTTAATTGAATTATTTGTCTTTTTGCTATTGAGGTGTTGGAGTTCTCTATAAATTCTGGAGATAAGTCCCTTGTCAGATATGTCATTGCCAAATAATTTTTCCCAATCTGTAGGTTCTCTTTTGACTCTTTTGGAGTAGTCTTTGGAAGCACATAGAAATTTAATTTTTACAAGGTCCCATTCATCTAGTTTCTCTCTGCTGTTTGTGCATATGTGGGTTAGTCTATGTATGCCATATATTAGAGCCCCTAAATTTGGTCTTAGTATTTCCTTGAGGAACTTTATAGTTTTAGGTTTCACATTTAAGTCTTTGATCCATCTGGAGTTAGTTTTTGTGTTTGGGGTGAGGTACAGATCTTGTTTAATTTTTCTGCAAATGGATGTCCAGTTTTGCCAGCACCATTTATTAAGCAAACATTCTCTTCCACTTTTAGTGAATTTTGGCCCTTTGTCAAAGATCAGCTGACCATAGGTCAATGGGTCTATTTCTGGGTTCTCAATTCTATTCCATTGGTCTATGTATCTGTATTATACCAACACTTGGCAGTTTTGACTACTGTGGCTGTATAGTAGGTTTTGCGATCCAGCAATATGAGAACTCCTACTTTGTTGTTCTTTTTCAAGAGTGCTTTGCTTATCCAAGGTCTCTTTCCTTCCCATATAAAGTTCATGATTGGTTTTTCCAATCCTTAAAAAATGTTGATGAGATCTGG